TGTGGCTGTAAGTCGTCGAGGAACACGGGTGGGCCGTTAACTTCAACCTCTACGCACACAAGCCTCTCTGGAACCACCAATAGCCTCTTTGGTGTGACTGTAACCATTATATGCTCCCCCATGGCAATCCCCTGGACGACCTCCTTCCTCGCCCGGTCAGCGGGATAGTGGCTCTCCAAAAATAGGAGGACAACACTAAGGTCTCCCTGCAACTTCCACTCTCCCAGATCTATTAGATCCGTAACATGCGTCAGGAGCGTCTTCTTGTGAGCACCGGAGATTTCTATTCCAACATAGAGAGGGGGACGGGGATGATAAAACGTATTCCGCGGGTCCAAAGTCCTTGATGCATCATGCATCCTGAGCCCATGGTTCCATAAGGAGAGAATGCAACTCTCTCACGACCACATCAGCACTTTTGTCCAGTTTGGCAAACGGTCTGCCCTCATACTCGATCAGCGACGCTAGCCTCCTGAGCTTATTCGCGAACTCGTCACTATCTTCGTCACTGTTAGTAGCCAGAATTTCCATGGCCACCTCAGTGCCATTTGTATTTCATCTACCGCTCTCCACCACGGGAAGGGTGAGTACGGAGGATACCAGGTTGCTCTTCCTGAATCCAGGGTGATTCTTGAAGAGCTTCCAGATAAGGAACGGCATGGCCTTCTTACATTCGCTCGTATCCACACGACCGAGACGATGTGGGACATCTCTGTTTAAGACCTTCTTCAAACACATCGCCATAGTCTTCGGACTCCAGGGCCCATGGACCATGGGTACTCCTATTGGGTCCCTGCGTCTCCATGGTCAAAGCCGGCCAGGAAAAGCACTTCCACCTCTATACCTAATTGCATGAAGGGAGTAGCACTGCGGCGGACATCCATGAAGTGAATATGATCTTTGTCAATCAACACAACGTGATTCGAGCCCGGTGGAGCAAGCTTCACACGCTTCCTTCACTCGTGCGCTCTGAAGGCGCTGGTTGAACTGACCACGTGGAACGAATTCGGTGCTGTTGACGTAAAATGCATCCCAAAAGCCTACGGCGGCTCTCTTCGCACCCTCCTCTTCCACCAGGTGCTGCCTATATTTGCCACGCTGCACTTGCAAGTTGTCGAGGACCCTCGACAAGAGTCGAGTTTTGCCATCATTCAACGGACCAACAGGTGTGACCACGTAGACACGTTGGAGGCTTCCTCTCCTTTGGAGTCTCCACTCATAACCATCGGGACAATTGGGCATAGGTACGTATGAGACACCACCGCAACTGATGAGAGAACCGGCATAGGGCTCACAATGGGGCCGGTATGCCACCTGAATCAACGAGAACAAAAGCACTTGGGTTTTGTATAATTCAACTTGAACCACCAGTGAACCTCTGGCATATCGGCCCCAAATCCAATACCATGAATGGGGATGAAATAACCTGTTGTTTGGCATGATTGAGTGCATCAGATTTTGTGATAATTTTATCCCCCCAAAAACTCCCCCGAAATTGGAAGAGACTCAAACAGGTCGCTCTCGTGGGGCGTAGCAACTCACTGAACGACTTCAGAGGACTGTGAAGCTACAGGGCCTACCAAGTGTGGCTTCCATAGCTAAATTGCTGATAGTGGTGCCCTAGCATAAATGACGAGATAGCGCTGCCACAAGCCATGATTAAATTTAAGTCACATTTATTCTGCACCGTCTGAACCCCAATGAGGGCCTCCTAGTTCGCTCATGGAGAGGGCGGAATGTGGTGTTGCGATGGAGTGCTATCTAGCTAGCGCAGTATGACGTGGCAATGGAGTGGTATGCAACTAGCGCAGTCTGATATGGCATTAGAGTGGCAACTCCTCCATTTCGGACAGACCCACAGACAAAAGGGCAACTCCCTCGACCAAGTCTCATTAGTGTACTGCCTCAGCAAACCTCTCTACAATGAAGTCAGTAGAGCTGAATATTCGCCAAGCACAAGACAAGCGACGCCTTATAAGGGCTTGTTGTTCATCACAGTAGCCAACCTAAACACAACGCATAATCCGCACACAATATGTTGGGTAGAGACGGATATTCAGTTCGGTGGAAGACCAGTAGAAAGTACACACTGGAACCTAAGGTTCCGAAATAATAGAAATAAGCCTTCGTAAAATATCATCACAGAGTGAATCCAAACGAGCAGGCTCGATCTCTGCCGAACCCTTCTACCATCCCCGCAAGGTGATCCGCCAGCTGCAGTTCTTCCTCTGAGAAGCTACCCTTGACGTTCCCGAGCTGCTCCAATCCTCGACTAGCACTCTCAATATCCACCACCGTGCCAGGCTCGATAATTGGCACTCGTCTGACCTCGCTGATCAGCCTGCTGGTCTGCGGGCACTTGTACTTCGCGAGTTCACGGCAAAGCTCAAAGAATTGTTCTGTCATTCGTGAATCAAAGCCCTCCGAGTTCCCATGGGAGCTCAGCTCCCTCTTCAAACAAGTCAGCATCGCTTGAGGGCTCCACGGGTACTTCCAGCTCGCCACTTCTGTCGTTCCCGCAATCTCCGCCATGAACAACGTTACGACTCTCACATCCACGCCGTTGACCATGAAGTTCCTGGCCGAGGTCTTAATACTGTGAATATCAGTGTGATTCATATCGAGGAAGACAACGTGCTTGGACTCCTGTTTGGACCTCCTCACTTTGTGTTGGACAAAGTCACCACTGGCCCTCCTCAAGGCAGCGCCCAAGGCTGTACTATCAAAAGCCCCCCTTCTCGCGAAGTCCCTCGCCTTGATGAGAGCTGCATTGCTCACCACCGCCTCTGAGTTCTGCTCACTCTCCGTTCGGTTCTTCCCCTGTATAAACTTTCCTTTTTTAACCTCTATCTTATCAAACATGTCTTCAAGGAGTTCACTAGAGCCCGACCCTGGCAGACCCATCGGGACAACCAGGAAGATCGTCCTCGACGATCGTGGCTTTTCCCCCAGCATCCTCTGCACTGCTTCTCGTAGTGCCTTTTCCGACCCCGGACTGGCCGTCTTCACCCCTCGAGGAATCTTCTTGGATGCCTGCTGATACCATTTGGCAAAGAGACCGCCTTGTTTGCTCATAGGGAACCGGAAGAAGACTTCGTCCTGTTTAGACTTGTTCTCATCCCCCGCATGAGCCAACGTGCGTCCGATCACCTCTTGAATGGCGCCCTCCCAGCCGTAGTTCACCACAGCCACTCGATCACGTTGGAACTTGAACCGAAACAGGAAGCTCACCGTGCACGCATGCACAACACGGTCATCACCGTCTTCCAAGAGCTGCTGAATTTGTCTTTCGCCAGACACTCCATCATCCGTGAGTAGCTCCCTCGGCACCACCCCAGGAGGCGCATGAATAATCACAACTGTTCCACCGCGCTTCTCCGTCTCCCTAGCTTCCACTGCAGAACTGCTCATTGACGCCTCTATAGGGGTGACTGCCACTTTTGGCCCTCTCGATGTCACCACTTCCAACGACTCCTCGACCTCTGGCGTACTCGGCACAGTAGATATCGGCGACGCTGGGATTTCAGTGCAACAACCGGGTCCACACTCGAGAACCGAACCTCCTATTGAACCCTCTTGAACGGCATTCATGATGGTATCTGGAGAAGTGCTATCATCCACTATCTCTGCCCCAACAATGGGCGCCTCCTCGACCACCAGGGTAGGACCAACAGAGTTGTCTGCTGATAACAGCGCCTCATCATCAGCATCACTTACACTACCGTCCTCCCCTGCACCAACAGCCGACTTATCCAGTCTGGTTGTAGGCCTTTCCCCACGCAAGACACTAGTTATTCCCCGTATAAGCTGAAGTTGGTTTGGGACCGTCTCGACCACCCAGGCATCAGTGACGGACTCCTTCTGTCCATCCCACCACCCCTCAATGAGACTGCGTTGCTCCTCTAGAGTCCCCGAGGCGAACCTCAACTCTTCCTGTAACAGAAGCTCTCGAGCCTTGACCCTCGTGGTCTGTTGCCTTGCTTGCTCGAGGACCTCAACAAGTGACTGGTCCCAGCCTATTCTGAATACCCCATCAACTGCAACTCCGCCCGTCCATCCGGGCGCGTATAAGACATGCTTGCCCCCAGTCTTCCGAATAGTCCCGAGGGTCTCGGCATTCACAGCAACATCATCTGTGATCAGCTTGTGCGGTACAGACCCTGGCGGAGCGTCGATGAGAACAATTCGGCACTCCGGTTCGTTGCCCAGGCCCTCCATTATTCCCGGCAATTCTTCAACTGACGAGGCAGTCAAAACCCAATCCCCCACACCTCGAGCCGCCTCATAGCAGTGCCCTATCTCCTCCACCTGGGCCTCCGGGTCCATCTCGAAGAACTCAATATCAGCCTCACAAAGATCCATTCGACCAGCCTTCTCGAATGACCTTGTGATAACATCATCAACCGTACCCTCCCAACCAACACTGACCACCCTGACGCTCTCCTTCAACTTCTCTCCACCAGATCCCATCACAGTGATGTCCCTCATACGGGCCACATGCCTGCCGCCACTCTCAACCATCTCCATTATCGCTTCCACAGAGGTAACCTCAGTCGTCCTCGTTAACAGCCCAGATGGTATAACACCAGGAGGAGCATGAATAAGAACAACCAGGTTTCCACCTTCATCAGGAACCTCTACTGCTAACCGAGCAAGCTCCACGAACTGCTCCTTCACATCCCTCTCGCGCCACTTGTCTTCACGCTTCGCCACTTTTTCTATCTTCTTGAGTAAACCCACATAGGCCTCGAGAGCATAGCTGCTGCCCACAGGATCACCAAGCATAATTCGGCATCGCCTTTCGAACTCTCTTAATTCACTATCGACCCCAAGGCCCCGCATAGCACACCGAGCCAACGTCAGTCGCATAGTGTTGAGGATTCGGAACTTAGCAGTTTCCGAAAAGTCAGCCATAATCACTTGCTCCTCCTCCTCCTCTGCCGCACCAGCAGCACAGAGGAACAGGGCCGTCTTGGCGTACTCGCATTGGATGAGCTTATCACTGTCGGTCACAGAGTTCGGAACGCCAGAGAAGTAGATTTCTCGTAGAGCCTTCACGAAGGTCCCACTATCGGTAATCTCCCTCGCGCTAAGATCCTGCAACAATTTCGATGAAATCATCCCCTCCTCAGCGGCCCTTCCCACCACCCACCTCAATGCCGTTTCCCTCGAGTAAACCACAAAATCGCATAAGCCGCAATGCTCTCTTCGGATCGACACACGGGCTTGCAGGAGCGACAGTATTAACAGTAAGGCCGTACCTACGGACGATCTACCCTCTAGTGCTGAATGAACAGCTATCTCACCAGGTGAACGAGCCCGACTCAGGCTGGCACTGCGATAGAGGCTCCATTCCGCGGTTGGGGTGGTAACAAGAGCCAAATAGTGTGCACCCTCCTAACAGCTGTCTTAACTGAGATGATGAAGACCAATAACTCCTCCCGCACGCCTGACCACGCTCTGAGGTAAACTCAGCCTGAGGAATTCTACCAGAAGGCAGATGGTCAACAATATGAAAATTCTGAGCAAATTTAGGAAAATTCTTATTGGTTTCTGTGCACTTCTACCCGACTGAGTTATGAAACTCTTAACACTCTGCTGAGAAAACCAACATATGTTCCTCCAGCACTGGGAGTTAGAATAAAATATCAATTTATCAGCCGAGGAGCATATCAGCAACCCGCGCCTTTCTAGATCCTCATGAAGGAGCGCACCAAGGTGAGGTTCTTCCCAGTTAGTTGTTCAAGCCATGCCGCCGCTATATTGCGCTTTCGACCTGAGTATCTGATAACGATAATCAGAAGCCCACACAGTGTTGCGGCCTACTTAAAGAGATCCTCAGCATCCTTAACGACTAGCGACAGGTTCCGACTGTGGAGCACCCACGACTCCAAGCGTTGGCTCCAGCAGACCTGGGGACGACGAGCCTCCGCAAACAACGACAGTGTTGGAGGAATATATGCTCGCTCTCCTCAGCTAAGCCCCAGAGATCTACATACAAATTCGGCAATAGATGTGTGCAGAAACGAACGAGAATTTCTCAAAATTTATAATTTCGCATATTTTCCCCTACCACTCTCCAACGAGGTTTCTGGGGAGAAAGCGTCGCCTTATGCATAAATACAGCGTTTCAATGCGGGAGGATATGCATGTGGTCAACTATGAGATTTCTGATGGAATTTTGGTGAATTCTCATTGCTTTTTCTACTCTTCTACCAGCAGTTCCCTCGAATATTAATAGAGTTTACATGCGAGTCGTATGTGAGGGTGTTCACGCAAACTACGGCTGTAAACCTACAGCCACATCGTCCCCTTCCGGGCATTCCTTCATATACAACCGCGTCGGCCGAGACCCCAACCTCCCAACCACACGATTCATGACGGTCATAAAGCTAACATCTGTGTGGTGATGATGACCAGGTGTGGACGACTGAGGCATAACTCACTCTTGCTCACATCGGCATTGGTCGGTGGGAGATTCATCAATATCGAGATGTCCGCAGAGTCCTCCGGTGTTACTTGACTATCACTACCTACCTTGTCAACCTGAATAATGTTAATACCACACCAACAGCAACAATTAGATCAACTCCATACTCACTTTACGCCTTTTGTTGTTGTTGCCCACCATACCGTAAGCAGTCTCAGGCACAAGCAGAATGACGCCCGAGCCAATCAGAGCTCGACAGAGGGAGTCGTTGCGGGACCTAAGCTCGCTCTCGATGAGACGACCAGTGTTGGAGGAATATATGTTTGCTTTCCTCAGATGAACTCAGGACGTTCGCTCACCAACTATACAGGTTTACACACGAATTCTGTTATAAATATACAGAAACCAACAATATTTTTTCCAGAATTTCCTCAGAACTTTCATATTGTCACCAACACATATAGTTGACCATAAGCACAGCTATCAACGCCGCCTACCCGTTATTGGCTTTCTTCCATGCAGGAGTGATGTACACCAACTTGAGCGGTCGACCATGAACTCGCTTGGTGCTCTAAAATCAGCATACCACTCTTCCCTCTATTCAAGCTGCTTACAACTTCACACATAGGCATAGCTTCAGCCCACGCAAGGAGCTGTGCCGTCGTCTCCACCCCCTCCCCCACTGCAAGAGGGTGCCTTGCAGAATGTCCAACAACAGTGGATATGAGCCCACTAAGAATACTTCCTGGAACTGCAGAACTGAGGGCCGTCATTATCAATCAACCGGGGAAGCAATCACTTAAAACAATACTAGGGTTGTTTGTCCGTACTAAGCTCGATGAAATGGAAGGCTTCCTTTCGGGCTGAGCGTGGTAACGTGATATCGGCAACCCAACTTCCACCATAGGCTCGGCAGAAGCTTTTTATCATTCGAAGTTATTTCTAATGATTATGATTCCACTCTACTGATATGGGCGGGAGTCCCCAAATTGCCAGTGTGTGGAAGAGGACTATGCACATGGGCAACTACATATGTTGATGACAGTATGAAAATTGTCGTTGGTTTTTTGTACACTTCTACCCAAAGTCGTGTGTGAAGTGGTCAGCTGAGGAACCAATCACATATGTGGGACCGCGGTGTTCACGTGATCAGCAACACAAATCCCTTCATAAACTTGGCAGAAACTTTCTACTATTTGAAGTAATTTCTAATCGTGCACTTAGGAAGTTGAAATTTATCATTGAATTCATACGTTTGTATGTTGCTCAATGGTGTCCCTTCGATAACATCCCATTGCTCGTGAAAGCCTCTGACATACTCCCTAGCCAGCCTTGCCGGGCACCCAGCATCCAAGGCCATGGTGATGTGTAGATATTCTTGTGGCTGTAAGTCGTCGAGGAACGCGGGTGGGCCGCTAACTTCAACCTCTACGCACACAAGCCTCTCTGGAACCACCAATAGCCTCCTTGGTGTAACCGTAACCATTATATGCTCCCCCGTGGCAATGCCCTGGACGATCTCCTTCATCTTCTCACCCTCCGGTTCACGACAGCCGAAAAACGACAAAGTCACGTGAAATTCATCCTTCATTTTCCACTTGCCCATCCCGAGTAAACCCATCACATGCTTCACTAAAATCTCCCTATTGTCACCAGAAACGTCAACCCCAACGTACAAAGGCCAGTGACACTGAGCCGCCAACTCTTCCAATTTCTTCACGACCACTTTTACACACTTATCCGACTCCACGAAAGACTCCTCATCGCAATCAACCATCTCGACGAGCCTATGTACCTTCTCCAGCTCCTCCTCGCTAACCTCATAAGTCAGCCCGCTACGGCCCTTCCGACCGGGCAACGCAGCCACTATTTCCTCAGCGAGTTCCCTACCATCTTTCCGCCACTTCCCAACTTCAACTACCGGCAGTTTCAACACCGTCCTCACCCACTTATTAGGCTGTAGTCCCGGATAGCGCTCGAATAGCTTCCAGAACTGGAAGAACACAGCCGCCTTCTTTCCCTCATCAGTGACCCCACTCCCCAACGTCGGGTGCACCTTTCGCCCCAACACCCTCCTCAAGCACATCGTCATCATCCTCGGCCCCCACGGGTACTCCCACACACTCTCCTCCTCCTCAGTGGCAGTTAAAAAGAGCCCCACCACTTCTACATGCGTATCAGGCTTCATAAACGGCTGAGCACTTCCCCTCATGTCGCTACCGTATACATGATTCTTATCAATAATCACCACATGGGTCGAGCCTCGCTCCGCCACCCCAACCCTCTCCCTCATAAACGTCTCAGCCGCCCGTCTCATCCCCGCTCTCTGTCGCCTCCTATCAGCTCTGCCCCCCTCGGCAAACTCATCACTGCTCAAATAAAGAGCATCACAAATCCCCGACTCAGCCGTAGTCTCACAGTGCTCCTCAACCATATTCTGCCGATATTTTCCATGGACCACCGGGAGCCTGGCAAAGACCTCCTCCAACAGGCGCGTCTTACCACTACCAGGTAGCCCCACAGGGGCAACCACCAACACCCTCTGAGCCTCTCCCGCCCCCTCAAGCCTTCCTTCCTCCACCACAGCAACTAGCTCCTCCTCAGTGTCAACCCGGACCTGCTGCACTCCAGGTATAGCCACCTTATCGAGAGTCTCTAACCACTTCCCAAGAAGGGCACACTGCTTATCCCGCGGCAGAGCAAAGAAAGTCTTGTCGGTGTCGTAAAGATGCCCCCTTTCCCAATTCTTCAACGTGCGCTCCAAAAGATTCCCCTCCGGCCCACCCCACCCATATCGCACGATCTTAACACACTTTCGCAAGCTCGGCTTCACCGTCCGCAACCTCAGCAAATTAGGGAGTTGTACTACATGCCTACCACACCTCGCCCACTTCATCAGCCCATCACCATCCACATGCACATCATCCGTGATCAGCCCCTTCGGAACCACCCCAGGAGGCACGTGAATGACCACTACCCTCCCTGCCGCCGCCTCCGCTCTCTCCTCCTCTTCCACCTCAGTCCGTGCAGCCAACGAGAGTAACTCAGGAAATCTCTTATCAACCACTTCGTATGCGCCGAAACCGTCAACATTCCGATTCACCACAAACTGGACCCTTCGACAAAGGTCCGAAAACAATACCAACAATTCCTTCTTCCTACTGTTCCCGTGCAGCATCGTCTCACACATCTGCATAAACGCCCTACCATCCCTCCGCCTCTTCGTAGACTCCTTCATAACCTCTCTAAGTCTCCTCAAGAGCTTGTACTGAGCCGTCTTAGCTTTCCCCAAGGCCACCACCACTACTCCTCCACTACTCCTCCTCTCGAAATACGCCACTACTCCTTCCCGTGGACAGTTGATAAGCTTCTCGACTGAATCAACGTCATCCATCTCATATGCATTCACAGAGGCAATCTCCTTCCTCAAACTTCCCCAATCGTTGGTCGCCAACTCCCGCACCTCCTTAACAGGCCCAACCTACACACACCATACCACACCTCGAGCTCTTCCTCCTACCTCACCTCCCCGATTGTAGTAAGGCCACACCTACCCAGTATCGTCAGAGCATCTCTAGGATCCACACAAGCCGACTCAGCTCCACAGACGTTTGCCACCAACGCATACCTACCAAAAACCTCACCACCGAAAAGCCACCAGAAAGTCCCTACCACTTCAAGCCTTGAGTTTCATACTTCACTAAATGCTGTACTTCACTACGCCCACACAGCTCCCCTATGAGCGTGTGATGGGATAATACCTCCCGTATCTTCACAGTAAACGCGATCGCGATGAGATGATGGTGTGGTAGGAATATTACCGTTTCAAGGGTGCCCAGCCGCTGCAACTTCTCCACCTCTTCAAACCATGCTTGGGCGACGAGTTGAGCATATTCGAAGCGATCCTCGCCGAATCTGCAAAAAAATGCCCTCCCCGGGGATCGAACTCGATACCTCGGGACTCACCGTTTAAGATCAGCCGCCTCCCTGGCGACCAACGAGACGTTCTTAGAACAGATGACCCAAGCTGACAAGTCCACCGACCACGAAACCTACAATACAACAACTATTGGTAATATATGTTCACTTTCCCTCAGTTGTCGTCATTATTTTTCCCACTAATTACAGGAGTTTATATACGAATTATGGTAGAAATATTCAGAAACGAATGAGAATTTCCAAAAATATCCCGAAATTTCCAAATTTTCCCCCATTAATACTTTTAAGCTAGGTGGATATAATCGTGCGTTAATATTTCACATTTTCAAATTTCTTCCACAAATTCTAATTACATGCTACCTCATTTTCAGCATATGCCCCTCTAACACGCTACTTCCTACTTATTCATTCTAAACGCCTCCCAACACTACAATTCTACTCTTTTCAACGCATTCCTAAACCTACATCGTGCGTAATTTCATCACGTTTTCTTGCACTTCTTGCAGTTAG